CATAGCGCAAGTAAGGAAGAAGTTGAGGAACGAGAGTGATTAGTAAGCAAAATTTCATTTTTTCTATCTCTGTAGGTTTTCGGTTATATTTAACTCTTTTCTTTGTATGGATTTCCATCACGCGAATTAGTTATCGGGTTCTGAAGGATATATATGTAGCTGTGATTTCCCTTTGTCCTTTCTTTCTTTTCTCCTTATCCAAACTTCCTGTTATATAGGAATTTATTCTATTTTCTGTCTTCGAACCTCTATGAATTCAAGTTGTATTGTAATGGAGCAATTTAAATGCCTGGTGTATGAGTATACACAGGGCCCGGTTACATGCTGAGAGTTATTATTAGAAGCCAGTTGCATGGTGATATGCAAGTACCGGCAGTGTGGTTAGCTACCAGCTGTTAGAGTAACTACATTCCAGGCGCTAGGAAGGGGATCTATTCATGGGAGCAATGACTGACGAGTTTATGCCTTGCCAGTGACTAGAAGACCAGCCAGAGTGAAGCTCTGATTGCCCGGTGATCTTCTGTTTCCTCTAAGCATTGTAAGTCCGGCGGAGGGCAGGGACTGTGCTAGGGAAGTCTACAATAAGCGAAAGCTCTACAGCAATGATTCAGCTTACATATGAGCGGCAGCTCATTTATGCAGGCCCCGGTTGTATGACAACCAAGGCTGCAGGTGTCACAGAGGCTTTGACTAAGAGTGGTTGCCTTGGGTATCGGAAACACCTGCTGACACTTAGAGAAAAGCGGGGTAGTGGTGGTATTGTTTCCGGCACCGAGGAAAGGCCCCGCCGGAATTTAGTAAGGAGTTAGGAGCAGAGAATAGAGGCCTTCGCAGTATAAGCACTCGGTTCATTCTCACCCTTCAGTCCTGTTCTCTCCAGTCTTCATCAGAAAGAAATATCAAGTTCTTATCGGTAGCAGAGCCCTTAAAGATTATTGAGTTCTAGCAATAGTATCTTTGAATAATCTGCAACCTGATTGTCTATCTTGCACGGCCGTCTTTATTCCATCTTATTCTATTTCTCTTAGAAGAGATCCCCGTTACACGTATAACCTCTCGGTTGTGCCCCTTTGTCCCAGTCCTAGTCTTGATTTCATTTCGCATAACATGAAGCGTTGGATTTCGTTCTCGTTCGTTTCATTCAATATTCTATCGTTAGGAAACTTCGTCTAATCACTATTGGTATCAAGTCCGATAACCCTGAACCCTGACCTTGACCCCGCACAAGGTGAAGAGTTTTCACCCATTTGACCCTGAATCAGCTTTTACCGTTCTCTATCGAGACCCCCCGAACCTCGTTCCAGTTTCCCCGATTCGGCCCATAACAATTCTCCTGCATGGACTGAGATACCTCACACAATTATATCATGTGATCAGCTGATCAATATACGATGAAGTTTTGAATGTGCGAGAATATGATTTGAGTATGGTTTTGAACATATAACCTTGTGAAAGAATATGTTCCGTAGTTGAGGAGATATATTATTACACCGCTAAGGTTCCAGCGAGAACTGTGGGAGTTTATCGATCATTATATACAGATAGTTCTAATATTGTAATGGAGTATCACAGCCCGACCACCCTCACCTGCTCTGCCGATGAGAACGCTACGGAATCTGGTTGTTGGGTAAAGGATCAGGGTGGCTTCGGTGAGGTTGGATATGTTAGTAAGGTGCTCGGAGGATACAATAAGCGCTAGGCGCTTCAGGTTAGGTTGTAGAGAGAAGAATCGTGATTGGTTGTGGGATGTTATTATGTTTGTTTGATATTTCCTTAGGTATGGTTACGAGGATTAGTTATTGGATTATTCTTTGAGGTTTATATTCGAAGCTTCGTTCTCACTATCTGTACTTCTCTTTCTTTCTTCTTTACGCAACATCTTCATTCTGTTGGCTAGAAAACCCTATTCTGTTTCGATCAGTATTCAGCCCGGTCCCCTGTCCTCGTCCGAGAACATATCCGAATAGATCCTTGCCTCGGTACCTACCCGCGTCTTTGTCCTAGAACCCCTCCCCGCTAGACGGAGCCATTTCAACTGTCTGGTATATGAGTACACACAAATCCCGGTTACATGTTGAGAGTTATTGTTAGAAGCCAGTTACACGGTGTTATGCAAGTACCGGGAGTGTGGTTAGCTACCAGCTGTTTCAGTAACTACATTCCGGGCCCTAGTAAGGGGATCTATTTATGGGAGCAATGACTGACGAGTCTATGCCCTGCCAGTGACTAGAAGACCAGCCAGAGTGAAGCTCTGATTGCCCGGTGATCCTCTATATCTTTTGAGCATTGTAAGTCCGCCGATAGTGGCAGGGAATAGGCCAGAGAAGTCTACAATAAGCGAAGACTCTATAGCAATAATTAAGCTTACATCTGAGTGGCAGCTTATTCATGCAGGCTCCAGTTGTGTGGCAATCAAGGCTGCAGGTGTTACAAAGGCTTTGACTAAGGATGGTTGCCTTGGTTTCATGGATCGATTAGTTAATTTTCATGGATCGACTAGTGGATATACGGGGTTACGAAGAGTCGGATTAGTCAGAAAGGTTCTATTGGGTTCTACCGGGTTCTGTTGGTTGTTAATGTATGAGTCATGTTGGATTTGTCATCGCTGGGATTTCCTTGGGTATATTAAGGGGGGTTGTTTGTACTTCTCGTTCTTTTTCTTCTTCTTTCTTTACGCAACGTCTTCTGTATCTACGCTGTCTATTGCTATACAATATTATCGTCCTCTTCTTTCTTTAAGAAGACCAGTGCCTCGGTTCCTCCTTGTCCCGTCGAACCTTACCAACGCTAGAATCCCGTAGTACCCCTATTGCAAGTTCCCATACTGTCCACTATTACACTCTTCGTACCCTGCGGAATACTCGCTACTCACCCCCTTGAGATTACGTTGCGTCGTCATCCGCACCATACGACATGTCCACCCCCGACCCACCCGTATGGGCTCCACCCAACGATGTAGAAGGATTCAGGCAGATGTATGAGGCCGACTCTGCTGAATTATTCAACAACATCGCCACCCTCGTCCAGTGCGTCCGCTTCCAAAGGGACACTCTTCACACACAACTCACCGCCGCCAATGAAACCATCGATAACCTCGAGGAGCAGATAACCCAGCTCAACCTCAACCTCAACGTCGCCCGTTCTGCCCCCGCCCCTACCGTCGCTGCCCCCATTGCCGCTGCTCCCCCACCTGCTCCCGTCCCCGCCTTCAGGTCTGAAAAGTTTCCAGACCCTGAAAGATTCGATGGCACCCGCACCAAGCTCTCCGGATTCACCACCCAACTTCGAATGAAACTTGAAGTCAACCACGATCGGTTCCGAAACGAGGCAGCAAAGGTTATTCATGCCATCAGCCGCCTGGAAGGAAGGGCCCTTGACCAGGTCGTTCCACTCGTTAACGCTAATCCTGCCGCCCCCTTCTCCTCCGTCACTGCCTTCGTTGCCTACCTGGAAGCCTCGTTTGGAGACCCAGACCCCTGGGTTACCTCCCGTCACCAACTCATTGCCCTGAAGCAAGACAAAGGGGACTTCGCCACCTATTACTCGCAGTTCCTCCGTATCGTGGCATACCTGGACTACAACGAAGGAGCCAAGATCGATGCCCTGGCCGAAGGACTGTCAGAAGACCTGAAGTACGCCATGACATACCGGACAGACAGGCCTACCACCGTCGAGGCCTATGCCACCATTTCGATGACAATTGATAACCAGGTTCGGGGCTGCAAAGCTGAAGAACGGGCCATTTGGAATACGATGGGACAATTCACCACCCCCGCTGCTGTCGCACACCCATCTCATACCGCCGGGGTCCGCGCTCCAATGGACCTCTCTGTTCTCCAAAGCCGTCCCACTCAACGCCCTGCCGTCAAACAACGATACACTTTCGTCAATGGACAACGCAAGACCTCTGCCGCCGAAAAACAATGGCGAAGGGACAACAATCTCTGTATGTACTGCGCTAACCCCGGTCATGTCTTTGCCAACTGCCCCTCTGCCAATCGCCTGCGCGGTAACCAACCGGTTATGAGAGGCGCTCTCCTCGCACCCGGTCATATGGCCGTCGACCCAGCTGTTCCACTGGTCGCTAGTCCCGCCTCCTCCGAGTCGGGTTTTCAGTAGTCCTGGGTTTGATTAATGGCCCCTGCCCGGGACCTTCCAATGTTTCTCCTTTATCTGCGTTTTCTATCTCTGGCTTCTCGGTATCGTCTGTGGAGGATAAATTGGATGGGGATCATTTTGTTGCTTCTTGTAAAATTATAAACAATAAAATATCCATTCAAACTCACGCATCGATTGATACCGGTTGCTCCGGATTCGCATTCATTGATGAAACATTCGCGCGCCATAACAACTTCCCATTTCTCCCCCTTAAATCACCCCGCACTCTTGAAGTCATTGACGGACGGCCCATATCTTCTGGACAAATTACCCACCTCTGCTACCTACCGCTATCAATTGACTCCCACCATGAAACTACCCCCTTCTTTGTTATCAAACTCGGCTCATACCCACTCGTCCTCGGAATCCCCTGGCTTCAATTGCACGATGCCACATTACGGTTTAAGGACAACAGTATACTGTTCGACTCTGAACACTGTAAATGCAAGTGCAACTCTTCCGCGATACCCGTTCCCATTAGGGGGGTTGCACCACCGCCCCGTTTCCACTTCGTCAGTTCAGCCGCTCTTTGTCGCTTTGCTCGAAGGGACAAACTCCAAATCTTTAGTACAACTATTGAGGAAATAGATCAAACAATGGGCGAGGCCCCTAAGGAAGACTGGAGAACCCGAGTCCCAGCCCAGTATAAGAGGTTTCACGAAATGATGGACGAGAAATTCGCTAATGAGATGCCTCCTCGCCGCCCCTACGATCATAAGATACCGCTTAAGGAAGGGAAAGAGCCCCCTTTTTGGGCCACTTTATGGTATGTCCCGTGAGTAACTCATTGTGCTTAAACGATACATACAGAACAACCTCCAAAAAGGCTTTATTCAGGCCAGCTCTTCGCCTGCCGGTGCCCCTGTCCTATTTGTTACAAAGGCCGATGGAACACTCCGCCTCTGTGTCGAGTATCGTGGCCTCAATGAACTCACTGTCAAAAACCGCTACCCGCTGCCACTCATACGGGAGACTCTCGATCGCCTTTCCAAAGCCAAGTGGTACACCAAACTCGACCTTCGCCAAGGGTACAATCAGATCCGAATGGCTGAGGGTAAAGAATAGAAAACAGCCTTTCGAACACGTTACGGGCATTTCGAATATACGGTGATGCCCTTCGGCCTTACCAATGCATCAGCCAACTTTCAACATTTCATCAATGATTGCGTCCGCGACTACCTTGATATGTTCTGTACAGCCTACCTTGACGATATTCTTATTTACAGTGACACCTTCGAGGAACATCAAGTACACGTCGAAAAAGTCCTGGAAGCCCTACAAAGAAATGGAGTACTGTTGAAACCGGAGAAATGCAAATTTCATACACAAAGCACCACCTATCTCGGCCTTATTATCGAACCCAATGGTATTAGAATGGACCCAAGAAAAGTGGAGACAGTGAAGAATTGGACCGTCCCCAAAACAGTTAAGGATGTGCAAGCATTTCTAGGGTTTGCTAACTTTTACCGCCGATTTATACGCGGATTCTCGGAACTGGCTTCTCCCCTTACCAGACTGACATGTAAGGACATATCATTTGGATGAACACCCGAAGCCCAAATCGCCTTCAACGCCCTGAAAGAAGCCTTCACCACGGCTCCCATTCTTACTCATTTTAACCCCGAGAAAGAAATTACTGTGGAAACCGATGCATCTGACTATGTCTCTGCCGGTGTACTCTCCCAATACGATGACAATGGTACCCTTCGACCTGTCGCGTACTTCTCAAAAAAGCACTCCCCCGCTGAATGCAACGACGAGATTTACGACAAGGAACTACTGGCAATTATTCGGTCTTTTGAGGAGTGGCGACCGGAACTTGAAGGGGCTGCATACCCAATCGCCGTCATATCCGGTCATAAGAATCTCGAGTACTTTATGAGTACCAAACAACTCAACCGGAGACAAGCACGGTGGGCAGAATATCTGTCACGGTTTAATTTTGTTATTAAGTACCGACCAGGGAAACAAGGAGGGAAACCGAACGCGTTGACAAGAAGATCAGGAGATCTCCCTGGAGAGGGGGATGAAAGACAATTGCATCAGAGTCAAGTGGTATTAAAGAAGGAGAATCTTGATGCAAAGCTAAGTTTGTTGGCGGGTTCTTTCTCAAATGAGCCCGCTGAAAAGAACGCCTCACTGTATGGACTATTCGATGAAGGATATAGCGCTGACCCGTTTCCACAAAAGATACTGGATATGTGGAACAAAGGTGAACGACAATCAAAGGATATATCACTCGCCGAATGCACCGAGGTTGAAGGCCGATTGCTTTACCGAGGCAGTATATATGTCCCTGATTATGACCCTCTTAAGCTCCGAATCCTCCAACTTTACCATGAGGCTGCCTCTGCTGGACACCCGGGATGCGAAAAAATATTCGAACTCATCAGTCGAGATTACTACTGGCCCCTGATGCGGAATTATATTGCCCGCTACGTTCAGAACTGCCACACCGGTCAACGAAGCAAGCCCAATACCCATGGAAAACTCGGCGTACTTCGACCTCTACCGATTCCCGAACAACCATGGGAGGAGGTATCAATGGACTTCGTTACTGGCCTACCGGAGAGTGAAGGGCACGATGCAATTGTGGTAGTTGTTGACCGGTTAACAAAGATGCGACATCTCCTACCCTATAATACAACTGTCAACTCCGAAGACGTTGCTCAACAATACCTGCGAAACATATGGAAGCTCCACGGACTACCAACACACGTCACCTCCGACCGCGGTACGCAATTTACAGCCAAGTTTTGGAAGGCTCTTTGTAAACACCTCGACATCGAAGCAAGGATGTCTACCGCCTTCCACCCGGAGATCGACAGCCAAACCGAAAGGCTGAATACTGTAATGGAGCAATATCTACGTGGGTATGTCTCTTATCAACAGGACGATTGGGTAAAATGGCTTCCTATGGCAGAATTTTCCGTCAACAACCAGGTCTCCGCATCCACTAAAGCTACACCATTCTTCGTGAACTATGGATTCCATCCCCGATTCACAGTGACGATTAAATCGCTTGACAGGACCCTACCGAGCCTCAATGCTAAAGACTTCACCTCGAAGATGAACGAACTCCATGAGTATCTACGTTCCAATATCCGAACGTCGCAAGATCAACAAGAGCAGGCCGTCAACGCCAAAAGAACGCCGGCTCCACGGTACGATATCGGCGATATGGTGTTTGTTTCAGCAAAAAACGACCGAACCATGCGTAACTCCTGGAAGCTGGACTGGAAGAAACTGGGACCGTTCCCCGTTAAAGAAATTATATCGCCATATACGTATCGGGTCGACCTGCCTAGGAGTATGAAGATGCACCCCGTCTTCCATTTATCATTGCTAGACCCCGCTGCAAACGATCCTGTACTGGGGCAAATTCAACCACCATCCCCACCTATTATCGTCGAGCAGGAGGAGGAGTATGCAGTTGAGGAAATCTTGGACTCGTGAGAAACACGGAATGGTGGTCTGTAATACTTTGTTAAATGGACAGGCTATACCGACCCTACCTGGGAACCCGCCGGATACCACGATGATACCGCCACCGTTGATATCTTCCATACACGTTACCCCGAGAAACCTGGACCGTTGGAAGGCAAGATTAAGGTTAAGGCTAGCAGGAGCTCGCGCTTGAAGGGAGGGGCTACTTTCATGGATCGACTAGTGGATATACGGGGTTACGAAGGGTCGGATTAGTCAGAAAGGTTCTATTGGGTTCTACCGGGTTCTGTTGGTTGTTAATGTATGAGTCACTTTGGATTTGTCATCACTGGGATTTCCTTGGGTATATTAGGAGAGTTCGCCTTCGTTTCTTGTTCCTTTTTCTTTTCTTTCTTTCTTTACGCAACGTCTTCTGTACCTGCATTGTCTATTACTATACAATATTATTTCCCTCTTCTTTACTCAAGAAGAATACCGTTTGCTGCCCTCTTGTCCCGTTGACCCTTAACGACGCTAGAGTCCCTCAGAAAACCTTTTGCAAGTCCCCACACCGACCTCTACTACCCCTTCGTACCCTGCGGAAAACTCGCTACTCGCCCCCTTGAGACTTGGGTATCGGAAACACCTGCTGACACTTAGAGAAAAAGCAGGGTAGTGGTGGTATTGTTTCATGGACCGAGGAAAGGCTTCACCGGAACTTACTAAAGAGTTAGGAGCAGAGAATAGAGGCCTTCGGAGTATAAGTACTCAGGCTCATTCTCACCCTTCAGTCCTGTTCTCTCCAATCTTGATCAAAAAGACATATCACGTTCCTCTCAGGAGCGGGGCCCTTAAAGATTATTGAGTTCTAGCGATAGTATTTTTGAATAATCTGCAACCTAATTGTCTATCTTGCATGGCCGACTCTATTCTACCCTATTCTATTTCTCTTAGAAGATACCCGCGTTACAAATCTCACGTAATCCCTGTATTACATAATCCTTAGCACTAAGCCTAATCTGAAACCCTTCTTCCTACAATGAGTAATCCCTTATACATGAGTAATTGGCATATATAACCGATGTCGCGATGCCCTATTTCCACATTTTTTTTTTTTGTTCCATTGTTTCTATTGTTTCTGGGTACATGAATATTGTGTGTAGCCTAAGCTATGGCGTGAACAAAACCCCTCCTATCCCCCACCCGGTCTCTTGTTATAGTAAATATGGTCTGATACAAACCGCAAATCTTTTTACAAAGCAGATGACAAGAAACTTCCCCTGACTTCCCCAAAACGAAAAACACAACAAAAGAAAGGTAAAAGAGTAACCAAATGGCTAATATAGCTGTACCGTCCGATGGGTCCACGATCGAATACAGTGTAAGATCGAAAGGGAAACTCCTCCCCGTACGGCTGAGCCGGTGTCAAGAATTTAGCCGCTACCTGACCGGTAGAAGGAGATTAGCCCAACTTAGCTTAGGCTTGGTTCGGTTGTTGAGAGTGGGGAAACTGCCATATCTAGTGTTTTCGACAGTCTCGTAGGCTGCACTATCTTCATCTTTCTGGCGAAGATGCGTTACCCGAGGAGAGAAAAGAGGTGGAGTTCTTCGGTGAGGAGGAGGCTCCAGAAAGAGGAGGAGAGTTAAACCCAGAGAGGAAATGGCCAAGAGGGTACATTGTACCTGAGAAGGAGGCTATTCCCAGAGGGAAGAAGGAGGGAGAGGAAGGACTGGCGTTGACAATAAAGCTTAAGCAAAGTCTTTAGCGGAGGTGTGACTCCGCTCTTCGTCAAGTCTTGGTGGAGTTGAGGAAGGGTGTTGACGGAACAAGAAGGGATGGCCCTATTTCTACATACACTACATACATATATAGCACATCCTTTCCTGCCTCTCTACTTCACTTCTCGCTCAGCTGAGTATTCGACTACCGCCATAACTCGAAAAATTGGCTAGATCAAAATTACTTGTACGGGAAACTTCTGGTGCAGATCGATGCCATTCAACCAATCACTCAAGTGGTAATCCCTGGATGGAGATAGCCAATTTTTCGAGTTTTGGCGGTATTGATATATGCGCAAAGCCCCGCTTACTTCCAAAATCGCCTCGCAGAACTAGCGGCGGCTCAACAAAAAGATGTACCCCCTTGTCTGCCGCCACGTAGGAGCCGAAGTCCACACACCCAGTCACCAACCCCCGCAGCTCCGTCTAGCAGGTGCCCAAGATCGAGGTTGTGGGTCATGGAAATAACACCCCACGATGGGGGAGCTCAGGTTTGACGAAGGTCTCACCCAACCCAACCCACCTTCTGAATAGGCTTACTCAAACCCTGCCATATAACCCGAATTACCCATTGCAAGTATTGTTCTAGTATACTAACGAGTAACGTATTTCACCTAGCTACCGACCGTCACCTAGCAACCAACCGTCGCCTAGCAACGGGCAAATATGATGTCGCGATGATCATTGAACTCGCGCCGGCGACCCAGGAACGGTCGTCCGTACGCAACGAAGGATATTAGATATATTACTTGCACGCAACGAAGGATATAGATATATTATTTGCGCGATCTCAGCACTCTACTACTAGAACTAGGACACTTTCCGCTTTTGCCTATATAAGGAGATGTAGGTACAGGAATAAACTCTTCTATCTCTTCCCATTCGCTCTCTGAAGGTGAGGATTCCCTAGATACACACCCGGATGTAGAAGGTAGAGCTTTTTGTTTCGTAGATCTTTCTGAGGAATTGGATCCCTTGGCTTCCAACTTTGCCGCTGCTCTGGCTGTTCTTTGTTCAGACTTTAAGGTAGCGGCACTTTGTTTTTCTTCCCATTGGGTCCGGAGTCGTACTACCTCCTCTGTTGTGACTACCAACGCCTTTGAGAGTACTGCCTTACTCTTTACCTTTGATGAGTCCACCGCAGCCTTTTTTTTCTTGCGCAAGTACTCCAGTTCTTGCTTTAAGATAATCACTTCAGCGGCATTTTCAGCAGCTGCGAGGGAAAGTTTCTCCACCATAATTTTTGCAAGAACTCTATAAGGAGTGGCCGCTGCACCCATAAGAGCAAGAGTCCACTTTGTATGTGTAGCTATTGTCTTTCCATGGCGGGGGGTACGGGGTATAAGGAGTTCCGCTTTTTCTGCCGCATGGGTTTTTGCTTTTGTGAGGCTAGAACCCAGTACTTGACGCGGGTTGAGAGGGTAGATGCCCGTACTTTTGAAGGTGCTTGCAATGGTTTGTTGGCTATAGGTACGTCTTCTGGCTTCTATCAAGAGTCTATTAATATTCTAGTAAGTATGTATATTCAAAGGTTGAATTTTGCGATGCAGGGTTCGGATTAGAACATACGGGAAGAATGTTCCTTTGTGTATGCCCACATTACCATCCTGTGCCCAATCATCAATCACGTTACCATAATGTCTTTGTAGAGGACCAAATATTCCGACGTCCAAAGGTTGCAGCAGATGAGTATAGTGTGCCGGAAGGCAAAGGGGTATAATGTTGTGAGCGAGACAGTAGGAGAAAAACTGCCAGGTACAATGAGAGACATGTCCATCTAATAATAATAGCCGTGTTCTCCCGCCAGCCCTATGTACAAGTAAGTATATATTTTCAAGGAATGACTGACGTGACTCTGATTTCATACCTCTCAGCCGTATTTGGCTCAAAGTTTTTCATTATATACTCGAGCCCAATCTCGCTGTTCGTCCAGCCTTTTTTAGAATAACTAAAATAAGCTTTCTCTCCTGCCTTGATACTGTGCTTCTCCTTTATATATGACGGTCGGAGGAATTACGAATTGGCCTACAGATATCGTCTCGATCACCGTTATGAGTTCTCGCATTCCATCTTGCGTTTTGAAATTCCGCTTTTTGCCCCGTCGACAGATGACTTTAATACGAGATGAACGTCCCATCAAAAATCCCTTTTCATCCATATTATATGTGTCATCCGGCAAAACATTATGTGTTTGCGCTACCTGTCGTAGCTTATCTGATGTCAACGCTATCCTATTGAGGGGCTAGTCTGAAATTGGACGGGTGTCGCTTAACTCCTTACCTTAACAAAAAAATCCGCTGAAATCCGTGGGTTACTAGCATAAGACCTCTGCTTATCCAGTCTCGTACAAAACTTTGACGCCAGATCGGGATGTCGATTTAAAAACCTTGTAATCCAATTTTTCCCGAGTTTGGGCTTACGGATACCGTGACTGCGCAGGAAATCACAAGCCATATCCTTAACATATTGATGCTTAGGAGGGAATCCCCAATCATCCAATTTCAATATCCATTTCTTAATCGCATTTTCTTCGACTGGCGTGAGATTCTGCTGTTCCACATGTGCCTCCTGCCTATTCTTCGCACCCGCCAATCTATCCCTTAGCAAAGAGTATGCAATGCCATGCACCTCTGCAGCCTCTCGGATGTTCTTGATTGTGCCCGCATTCAGATCATTTTTGGCATCATCTACCCTCTTATTGAATTTGGCCTGCTGTTGAGCTCGACTTCGACCCATTTTGTACCGTGATTGATTGCAACTGGCGAGGCGAGTACACATGAAAAATCTTCACTACTATTTTGACATTATAGTTACACAGGTTGGTTACCCGGGGAAGGTCGGCTTCCCGGTGAAATACGTTACCGCTCAGCCAGGAACGAGCCTCTATTCCGGAAGCTAGTAACGTTTACAGCATCGACGGCCCTAATAACAGTTGAATAGTAGGTAGTATTCCGTGAGCAGATTAATGCTTAATGGTTCTCATATATATGCTGGTTTAAGACTGACACTGCAGAGACTGGAGGACACTTACTCATCGATGGAGTACTGGAGCAACCAGCAAATGTCAGCTGTATCTTCTCCTTGTCCTACTTTAGATGTGTGAGACCCGCAAGGTAGTTCTGTGATCCACTCGAAACTCGTTTATTAGTCACGGCATATTGATATGCACAGTACTACGAAGTTAGTAATACTGAGACCCAATTATGTTATCCTGACAACGTAGAGTTCTTAGCTGGACTACTAACGTTCTGGAATGAACCGCTGCTATAAAGCGAAGCCTTTCGACATGACCAGAAGGTTTCCGACTGATCACGTGAGCTATTGATTGAAGGACCGCGAACTTTCTATGAGTGAACTGAGTTCGTGGTTAACCTGGAACGGTAATATGATCATGAGTAATATTTATCACTCGATCCCTAGATGGTTCATTGGGCAAATACTCGCATTCGCCCAACCCAACCCAAGCTAATATAACCCTGTTGACTCAAGTGCAAGTACCCAACCTTCACCCGCTGCGGGGTCTCGGTGTGCGCACACAGTAGCGTATAAAACCGTTACTCGTTCGGATCGGGATGGGAACAGCTATCCAATTCATAATTCCAAGAACGCCCTGATACAATGAACAAGCACGTGCGCAGGAGAGACATTGCATATATAATTATAAAAGACTGTTGAACCTATAAAAATGGCAAAGCTTTAAGCATACATAGATTAGATCTCGTAGGAGGTTGGTGTTACGACTACTGATCACGAGATATGTGCTCGGTGGGCCGTAGCAACAGAAGACGAAACAAAGCAAAACAAGAAAAGGTCTAGTCTTGAGACATCGCAAAATATCCCAGTCATTGATTTGGCAGAGTGTATTGTCCTTACTCTACCAGCGTAAAAAACGCATCGCTTGATGCAGAATCTGTTGAGGCCTGATCTATAATATCGTCCGACTGGGGGTTTGCGATCTTATTTATGACTTTACTGACAACTTCACTGATGAGATTCAACCCAACATGATTAAACCTACAGATTTCCTGGCGTCCCCTACGACTTTTACTATCAACGATTTTCCTAACGAAAATGGGAGGGAAATTCATAGTTAAAGTCGTAGTTAAAGTCATCACCGGGTACGCTTTTTAGACCTGCTGCTAAGCGGTGTATTTTGTATCACTGGGGATTCTGAATTTCGTGATATTTCAACCACTAATATCAACAAAACAGGGCGCTTAACACGATATTATAGGAAATCAACTCATGGCTTAGGCGACGAGGCGAGGGTAGTGTGGTCCTTGAGCCCACCTGGCTCGAGCTTTAGGCTCGAGCTTTCGGCTCGAGCCTAGCGAGCCTTACCCTCCAGCGAGCCTGAGCCGGCTTGAACCGTTTTCTCTAAGGCTCGAGATTAGGCTCGAGCTTAATCAATTTGCTTGAACTACAAGTAGGCTCTAGAATCCATAAGAGAAGCAAAAAGGAGATTTATATCGACTTGAATGCTTAGTTAAACTATTAATTCCTTCTCACGATATTACTACATGAAATGAAGCCTATATGTAGCCCGCGCCTGCTCATTTATTACATTAGTTTCGAGGATAACCTTTTTTTTGTATCATTGACCAGCGGCTCGAGCCAGTTTATGAGCCTGCCACCAAAGCTCGAGCCTTGTGAGCCTCTGTCTCCCACGAGCCGAGCCAGCTCGAGCTTATACGTCGGCTCGAGTCGAGCCGGCTCATGGACCAGACTAGGTGAGGGGGTGACAAGCTTAAGAGCGCAGGTTCAATCCCGAAATCTTTTGTAATTTTAACCTGTTCACATTTACTGACCCATTTACTGATCCCTTTATGGATCCATTGACTTGTTCATATTCTAGTGGAATCCAATTCGAACTCTTGGGGAAATGAGACTGTGACTTATTATTGATGTATTATTGATGCATATGGGATGCGTTATTGATGAATTATGGTCGATGCATGATAGTTTTTGGTCATGATGCATTTACGGATACAATTACTGATGCAGTTCTTCCGGCACAGGGTGGTCCATGATGGCGAAGCACTTCGTGCCTCGCCTCGAAGCAAATTCCTCGAGTAACACGATGCGTACCTTCAACGAGGCCAATGTACCTCGATACATAGCATATTGCTCGACTCGAGTGGACTCGATATATACTCTTCAGACTGCCAGAACAGAGATACTCGTGTAAATAATATCCCGGGTGATCGAACCAGACAAGAACTATTGAGAACTCCCTGCCAAGACCTGCCTCAAGGAGCATTGAGACAGCTCGAGGAATAGGTGTATATGGCTCGAGGCAACCAGAAGCAGATCTCCCCAGAGACAGAGGCAACTCGATATACCCCATCTTCCTCGTCTCGAGGCGCTTCGTGGACCACACTGTTCAGGCACTAGAGTTAGCACTCCTAACTTTGTACTCTAGAAAGTGGATCTCCACTCGTAATAAATTATGTTGGTTGTGGGTTACACCGATGTTCTGATCCCAAGTTGTACTCGGGACCAGCAAGTTGCTATCCTACGATATCTATCTCGTAATGGTTTCAGTGGCCACATTGCTGAAGTTCAATGCCATGCGGAGTCGACCAATCTTTTCATTACCTTTCGTTTTCGTCGCTACTACCGTGTTTTAGATTGACTCCGCCAGACAGCGCCATGCATGAATAATGCTTCGGGTTTATCCCTTAGACGGATGATATGGTTAAGTTCACAGCTTGTCTCTTTGAGTTGATATTAGCCCTGTTTGGAAATTAACAATGAACTTGATTGGCTCTCTAGTGGCTATTGTTATTCGGAAAAGAAAAGAAGGTTACCCAACAAGGTGCGTGTACGGATCAAGCTGTGAATCTGACTGTGTCATCCGTCTAAATGATATATCTTGGACTTTTTCCAATTGAACAGAGGTTTCGAAAAGCTACTGGTAGTCTGCAGATCACCACATCCGATATCACTATGGCAGAATACGTCCCTATTTCGACGGAATGAAACTTGGTAATGCTAAAATCTCATCCTGGAATTGTAATCAATTTCACTAACCACTCACCCCTATAGGCCAAGGGTTTGCACACAATTGTTTCCCTGTGCAGATACTGCTCTCTAATACATGTGTGAGAACTGCAGCTACAACACATATGTCCAACAAACATGCGTAGAAGATGCGGTCACTATTACCCCTCAGGAACCTGGTGGCAGTGAAGGTGTAAAAAAGAGCTATGATGCGGTCCTGATTGAAGATTATAAGTAAGCCGATGACAATGATAATCTGGACGTGTGTTATTCTAACCTGGTTTTAGCCAGCTCACGAGATCTCTCCAGATATCTGGCTCTGCGGCTATCAGTGGCTGGGGAGCAAGTTTAGAGATAGACACCACCTTCCTGAATCGTACCGAGGTTTGTTACTGCCTGTTCCTTTTACCTGTGTATATTGCTGACCTTTCACGGCCAGTTTGAAACGAGCGATATCACCTATCAAGTGTTGGTTCAGGGAAAAAAGCAGACAGACGCATCTAGCAAGGTGGAATTTAACTGGTATGAGCCCAGCGATGCGCACGAAAAGTATGGGGACAGATATATAGCCGGTACGTACAAAGGACACCAAACCTACTATTTGATACGTGCTCATAATGAATTAAAATGTTAGACTTCATTACTGGAGGTACCTTTTTTGCTAGGATTTCAATCAAGGCCGGAAAGAAGCATAAGACTGAAGAGATCAAAGCATCGTAAGCAAATAATCCGCCACTTACCTAGGAAATGTATCATTACTGAGCTCGTCTGTAGAGCCAAACTTGCTTTCTCCTGCTTTAAGGTAGGAGCGTCAGTTACTACCGAAGTCGAGAGCGCCATGAAAACGATAAGTCAGCACAGCGGGACAAACATTACTATGCACAGTGAAGGAAGTAGGAAGCATATTAGGGGCACCCCGGAAAATCTTCTAGCACTAAAACGGAAAGCGGATGAGTTTTATGATCAGATGAGCCAGCAGAGTTATCGAAGATTATGTGTGCCTCTTCCCCCATCCCTACAGCGAGATATGCTAAGAAACCCCTAGTGCTCTGCTCGGCCAGTACGAGAAGTTACCAAACTTCAAGGATCAGTTCAAGCCGATGAACTACTCTTATGCAACGCAGAAGGCGGGTTCATTTCGAAACGAACTCATGGTATGAGGTCTGACCGGTGCAACCTTAGAGTTGGGAAATCTTCGATACATTCTCTAGATATGTATTTTTCGAGGACATGATAGAAAAAGGTAATTACTCGACCAGGAAAGATTCCTTGCGCCGTAAATGGTGCTGATGAATTCTCTTTCAGTCCCAATCAATAAGTTTGTAAACGGAGCCGAAACAAGGAGAGCCCTTCTCAATTCCCGGATAGATGAAATGGTTAAGATACAGGCCAAAGTAGTAGCCTTATCGACCAATTGAAGACTGCGGTAATAGGTACCTGACCAGGATTTCTAGGTTCTGAGTGTAAAGGCAGACCCCACCACCGTGAACGAGCCCGGGGAGTTTCAGGATGCGGATAGTTTCCGTCTACGAATTCTTGTATATATATTCCCCGTGCAATGTTTGAATTCTGCTACATATACTCGATTCTCTTTGAAAGTATTCGACTTTTCTGCTATGTTGGGCACAACACTCATCTCTTTTGGCCTTCTGTCGGGATTTGAGGAAACCGGCCCCATTCAATTTTCTACTTCTGGAGAACACGTATCCAATTGATTACCTGGCTTCATCACCGAGGAGCGTTATTTTTGGGCATTCTTTAACCGGGGCGGCGACCGAGATGGCGAGATTCTTGTTAAAGTGATTGCTCCACAAATAATGATCTCCTTACTATCATCACGTGTGGAGATGAGTAGGTCCGTTCTCTGATGGTCTCAATTGAACTCTACACAAAACACTGACATTTCTCTTCAATTAGCTCGGACCAGAATCAGGAACCGATCGGTAATGTGGAAGATCCGAATTTCAATGAGTCGAGGGAATATCTACCAGACGACTGGCGGGAGCGAAGCTTTCTTTTTTACAGTCATTCTGTGTCCTGATGAGTACGATAGCCAGTTCTTTTGGGTCCTTGCTAGCGATGATACCAGGCCGCTGCCTGTTCCTCAGTATGTAGAACACATAAGAATATATAAGAAAATATGCATACCTGTGCAATCAAAGCAAAAGCTACATTTAAAATAGGAGTACACCATCGTCTTCACCTCTTACGTGCGAGAACAAACCAAGGTATCTGATATAAGTCCTTTCGCGATCGGAGCACTTCCTAAATTATAAAGATGATGATTTGATATTCTCTGTGTTAGGCCGGAGTACTAATGATGGACACGACACAAGACATGACCGAATTACTGCAGCTATGTCTTAGTTGGGTTGTGGTTGTGAGGGTAAATTATTGCCATCGCCAGGCCTGAGGCGGTGAGCATGAGGTGGTCCTGTTCATATTCTCGCGCTCGTATCCCCATCGTTTCTGATATAAATGTTTACCTATGTAAGCAGGTAAGAAATTATCATAAAATCCTGATCATGGAATACTATAGTTGGTATGTTAAGAGCCTTACTCATGCGTTACTTGAGTCTTGATGATTCTTGGCCATGAAATTGCTCAGCTCTTAAGTTAGTTAATGCACGATGAATGTGCCCGGCGGGATACATCTGGATGAGACTTCGGATACCTATTTGTCTAATTAGGTCTCAAAGCCAAATCAAAGTCCTTCCACCTTTCTAGGTTCTTCTTGTCTCGAGATCACGATTCAAGACAAGTCTCAAGTTGTCAGCTTGTCTTGTGCCTATAATTAATAGGCCGAAGAAAACCATCCAATGGTTTAAGCCGGCTCTCTCCGGAAGTAACGCTCTGACAAACGAACTAATAGTTGGCCTCATTTGGACTCGCCTCTTAGTCCTTAACACCCTTTAGGTAATATCTTAATCATAATAAATATGCTGGCGGTATCTTTGGGAATATATTTTTTATAATGATGCGCATGAAACCCTAACCCTATGATCACATGTTCTAATAAAGAGATTTTGGATGACTTCAAGGGCTAATATCTGAAGCCACTGGAAGGCTCCAGTATTCACAAGTCGAGTCGAGTTGAGCAGCTGTTATCACGAGCCTGTTCGGGCTTTTCCTCTTGCTTGTCTCGAGCCGGCTCGTCGGCCGCGCAATATATAGCTGACCTTCAAGCGGTTAGTCGGTTGGGTCTATGCAAAGATCGTGGGGGTCATGTTCTTTTATTATCATATTGCTACATTTTTTCGATCGACCCTATTATCGTTATAGGCTCTGTCCCTTGCTTGATCCCTACGGTACCGGCCGGAGTACGAGTGACCAGTGAAGCGAAACCTCCGAGAATGTAAAAAGCTTTATGAAATAAAATAATGGGATCAAATGAGTATTGCAAAGAACAGTGGGATAGCCAGGGTACATATGGTGTCAAGTACAGCCCAAAGCTCGATTCTATCCCCAATATTTGCCCCCAAAACCTTGGAACTATGGCATCTCTAACAAAAATCCGGTTATAGCTGTTGATAGTGATTCAATCATCCGATACTTATTTCTTGAACAATTATATTGAGCTACAATACTTCGATTCTATGTGCGGCGGAGGATATAGTTGTCATGTATGACTCGCACGGTCCCATGGGCTACAACAAGAACGATTATCGATTGCTTTAAGCCAGTACGCGCGTACCACGTCAAAGTCCGATTGCAAGTCAGCATTATTCGACGCCTAAACGCGCGGTCGCGGGGGTTAAGAACTCGAGATGTGAATCTTGCGCATCGAGTATCAAGCGTAAGCGTCGGAACGGTTGCGGCTAGCCAAGTATAGCCCATAAATACTACACCTGCAAATCGCCACCAATCCAACCTTAATCTGCGATACGTGACACGAGCACACACCCGGCCGCCGCGAGCGCTAGAGATGAGGGCTACAATCAATGGATTATCAATCAGCTGGAAGTGAGGACCTGGTTGATTTCATGAATTAAACAAAAATAAAAAATAAAAAATACAAAATGGACCTGGTTATTAACACCGAGTGATCTTGTATGACGCGAGTGAGACAGTATGATTCTGTTGAGATGATGATTAATCAACCAGGGGCCGCTGCACCGTCCGGAGTACTGCGGCGCTGGTTGTGGAGACTTTGTAGTAGTTACATTCTGCTGAAGGCACATACCCAGGGAAATAATGCAATGAAAGATGTCGGTTGAGAGAAATGTTTTTACAGTACGCTTTCATATCTCTCACGATCAACACGGGAAAGAACAGGCCAAATCTAGTTACTGTGCCTCCACAAGATTCGGTTCCTGCTTACATATCCGTTCGTACCTTCTTCTAGACCCCTTGTATGGAAGAGTACAAAGCTGTCAGTGGCTTGTAGACGGTGTGTTGGGTTTAAATAGCCGTTAGTTTTCGGACCGACGAGCTCGAGAGGTGGGTTCATAGGTTGGATATCGTTGGGCGAGGTAGCTGTTGGTCGTGCAGTCATAGAATTAACCGCCAGTTTGTGTTGGGAAAGAGGTTGTGTTATATTAAAGTAATAGGAGATGGTATTTGTAAGACGGTGGGGTAAAAGGTAAAGATAGGAAAGTGGGTGCGCTGCGGGGTCGAGTGCTACTTCATGCAAAGCGGGGAGATGCAATCATCCGAGCTACTAGCAGAGGCTGTAGAATAGTACTGATAGTTCCCGAATGAATAAGTAAACAGTTCTTGTCCGGTGGAAAACCAATTTTGAACAGGTAGGTTCTATCGCGGGAAGTCTCTCTCTCGATAATTATATCCGTCCATTGGGCTATAACTAACGGAAAATTCGTCTGTTGTGGATACTTTCAAGCAGTCCTGCGCTGATGTAATACCGCACTCTACTGGCTAATATCACCCAGTTCTGCTAGATCAGGAGTTATGAGGGTACTCCAACAGCCGCCTAGCTAGCTCGCACCTAGTACCGCAGATGAAGCTGTGCAGGTACTAATTTCGTAATACTACCGCACAGGTCACTCACCCGCTTATCCCACATGCCCATACTACCAGTCATTTACTAGAAAATTAGGCGTACAGTTACCTGATCTTTCCCGGAACTCCTTTAAATACTACATGCTAAGCTTAAGCAAAAGAGAGAATATCACGGAGGGGAGTAGAAAGGGAACGAAGGAAATGAGTGCCATGCGCATGAAGAAAGAAAATAATTAGTAAAGAAGAAGCCTGCTAGACCATGGCTACATGACAAGATATATATAGCGCATCATTTTCTGCCTCTTTACCTTCCTTCTACCTCAGCTATCCGGGTATCGATTCGCAAGGCCCAGTTCCTTTTAAAAATTAAAACAGAGCCACGCACCCCCACTAAGTCAACAAAAAGACCCATTCGCCCCTATCCGCCGCTTCACAGGAACCGAAGTCCACACCCCAATCACCGCGCACTACTACCGTGTGGTCGACGTCATGAGTTGGCTCGAGTCCCAAACTCGACCACCAAGCCCCAGCAGCCACGAGTAGACACCCCCACAAGTAGAGCTGGCTCGAGCTTTTTCCACTGCGCAGCTGCTCGACTCGAATACCGCCAAAATCAGAAAATTTGGCTAACTCCGTCTAGGGATTATAACTCGAGTTTCCCGTACAAGTAGTTTTGGTCTCGGGAGAGCTGGCCAAAGTTTCCAGTTATGACCGTAGCTCGAGATCTTTGGGTGCTATTGGAATCATACTAAAGATTCGGGGAGCATTCTTGCGGTAGCAAACCCTAACCCTGATAAGGAGGTATGGAACGACTTCACGGGCTAATACCTCTCCCACTCCCACTGCTGTTACCTACAGAGCTACCACCACCACCGCGATCCACAACAACCCCGTAAAATACATATCTGTCAATTAAATGGTATACTCGGTGCATAGGGAACGTTCGAACTCGCTCGACAAGGAACGAGAGTACTGAGCTACACTTCACCAAAGGGTCCAGCAAAATCGAAACGGGGTATACTTGGCTCCGGAACAGTGTGGAACCATATCAATGAAAGCTCAGTTGTGTCACCGGCACAGTTCTGGGCAGGGCATATATATATTACCGTGGGCTGCGGTCGTGGTTTGATTCAAGTTTCTGTCGCTGTATGGAGTCCTACTTACAGTAGTTCAATCACCCAAAGCAAACTGCCTACCAGGCAGGCATCTTCAATTAGATGCACCCGTATACACGACCCACCATCCCCCATACCCGTTAGACATCTGTCCGCCCACGACACTCAAAACCCGCCAACTAATCATCACCTACACCACATCTGCTACCACAGCCGCAACAACCGCAGCCTTAATCGCATGTAGGTACCCCCCTAGCCCCTGAAGAATTCACAGGCCTAATCCCAGAACTAGCTTCCAGCGGCGCGGTTCTCATGAGAGCAAGGCGTTGTGGCATTCCTGAACGGTGCTTCCTAGCATAAAACTCCAAGCAGCCCGTAATCACATTGTCTGTATTACCGGACTTCCGAACAGATTTGGTAGCCTTTCATAACGTCACAAAGTTACGGTTATCCAATCCGACAGTAGCGAATCACACAGAATCCACAAACCCTAACCCATATGCAAAGGTGCATGACATAGGAGGCTTGGCTATGTTGCAGCCTTGCAGGGTAGGAGACCCGCAATTTGAGATCTAGACTATGAGTTATCTTTTGCAAGACCGCCGAGCTCTCGACTTTCAAGCCTTGCGTATCCGCCAGTATATAACCGATAGGACAGTAAAACACAAGTATCGCCTGGTAGGCCGAGACCTGCCCAGAATCTGGTGCTCTATAGTCTTGGCAACTTTGGGCCAGAAAATTACTGTTTGTGGGAGTTTCTTGTTGAAATCTCAACTGTATCATCGCCCCATATGGCAAGGCAATCGCCGGGTTTGTGCAATATGCAGAGCACCAGATTCTGAGCAAGTTTCGGCCACCAAGCGATGTTATTGGGGGGTCGATCTTGAGTTTCATTGGTTGTATGATAGTCTTTCCCCATGGCCTTTGTTCAATTATCCTACCTAACCGGCCACCCCCGCCATCACCATCTCTCAGACCATATTCTAGTCCTAACTTACAAAACTCAACCACTATTCCATAATGACGTCGAGTGCCCCCCCACTTCCAAACATCCAGTCACCCGAATCACTTCGCCTTGGCTGCTTCATCCTCGACATCAAAGATATCCACCAAGACACCCACGAACCTTTCATAGACCGACCGACCGCTGGTGAGATCAGCATCAACATCCACGGAAGCTTTCACGAGACACAAATGTTGTCGAAAGGCTCCAAGTTCCGCGTTTTCCTATCAGACATCCTCTCACTCTCCAACGAAAAGCGGGGCAGCGGCGTTGCGAACCTAGTCGCTCCTCAGCTCACTATCCATAAACTCCGGAACAACAGTTCCTGGTTCGAGGAGGCGTGCGGTAATTCAGAAACACTCGAGTGGTTCCTCAAGGCATTCAAAAACCGATACGATGTTTATCTGCTTGTTGGGTTCTTCATTCTCACGGACGCAAGGCTTTCCACGATCAGGACGTCCTCGACACTCGGGGCTGCCGGTGCTGAAGCATCAGCTCTACCGACTGCGGTTGCGGCTCTGGGTGATTCTATGGCCCTGGTTGGGGGGGTAAGAAATACCAGGGACGTTAGTTACGGCCGGATTAGTGTCTTGGATGTCCCGGGTGATCAGATCTTTGGTATGTGGTACCGTAAAGTGAAATTCAATTGGTTCTTTAGCCGGGAGCCTAGTATCTCCCTTGGTAATAAGACCCGGTGGAAACCACTCTACGAGGTAAGGGGTAGCCCTGAAGTAGGTGAGGGTAATGAGGTAGATGGCGATGATGAGGAGGAGCCGGACATGCTGTGTGTAAGTCTCGAGGGTGATAGCGACTGGGAGGAGAAGGAAGAGGAAGAGGAGGGGGGGGAGGAGAAGGATGCCAGCAGGAATATACAGGAGAGGGTATTGTAAAGAGGTTTAGGAACCTGCTGGATTGGATTAGGTCAATAACATGGCAGCGGAATTCCGGAAGGAGGAAAGGACTGATGATACTTTAATTTGGATGGATTCCCAAGTTTCTGAGCAACGTATACAGTAGCAATACATGTAGTTCTCTTACAGCTTGTAGTCAGAATAATGTAAAAGTATGGGAGGAGCCCTATTGGCTTAAACAGCTATACAAACCCCTGTTTCTACAAAAATTCTACCTCTCGCTGTAGTAATACTATCATTTTTCAAGCCATCGCCAGCTCCGGCTCCCTATATATATATAGCCATGCTAGTAACAATAAGCAGTGGAGCCAATTTCCCAATGTTGCGATGGGCAGCAATAATTCAGGCGACACAGTCCAACAGGACTCCATACACTGTATTCACTCCCGCCGCGGGTTCAAGACACTGAATTAGGAACAGAACGATGCTTCATAAAAAACCCTAACCCTACTTCTCGCGATCGACGGACTACATACATGTATGCAGCTAGGCAACAGTCTATGCAACAACAAGGTCCTCGTGATTGCCATATCGCGCCAGTCATGCTCGTACTTCTGCCGGTGCATGTGAGTGTGCTAGCTCCTCACGTGGCTACCTCTTGGCAGGATAGAAGAGGATAATATTATGACATACGGGTTCTTGCCTTGGAGAAGACACCGCGGCGGACAGGATTCTTCCTAATTCACCCTGATTAAATTGTCACTCCCATTCTTTACTACTTTGTATACCTACACACTGTCTAGTTTCTCGATTAGAAAGGCAGGTTCTTGATATACGTTTCCCTGGCCGAACAGATTAGTTTGTCTCCTGCGCAGACCAAGCAGGGGTTCCGCCGAGATTACTGCACATTGATACTTGTTAGCCAGCAAGGGTTTTCTGGTTTCTGCCCACGGCGAGAAATCTTCTTCACAAAGAAAATTGAGGTCTAACTGTCCATCTTCGCATCAAGCAAGACCAGCACCCAGCAAAGCTTGCGAGTAGCTGTAGTTATTGACCTATTTCAACTCTGAGGAGGTATGGGGCCTAAATCTCTGTACCATCAACAGATGTTAAGAGCTAACATGTTCCGCAACAGATGGGAGAGCCGGCGGGTAACAGCCAAGTGCTTCCGACGGGTGAATCCGGAGATGCTATTATGGCGGTATTGCAGATCCTTGGGAAAGTTGGTACTTTCTATAATCAGTTCTTGGCCACAGGTAGTATCGACACTATCGACAAGGCCATCTCAGGGCTTGAACCTCTCTTATTGCACATGAAGCAATTGAGGTCAGACCTGGTAAACCCCCCCAACAGGATAGAGCCAGATACTGATTCTAGTGAGCGGGGACTAACGCCAACCCCACCCCATGATGATGCTACGGATCGGGAATCGCACAACTTGAATCTCATGAAAATCAGATATGATTACTTTGTGGAGGATGTTGATGCTCGCATTACCCTAGCTGAGGAGACGGTAGCAACTACGCCGAAAGGCCACCCTGATCGACCGGTAGCGCTGAACGAGCTGGGCAACTCTTTGTGCTATCGGTACGATCAATCTGGGGAGGTGGAGGACCTCAAGATGGCCATTATGCACCTCGAAGAAGCAGTGGAGACAGTTCCGATGAAACACCCCGATCGGCCAGCCATGCTGAACAACTTAGGCAATTCTGCTATGAGCCTATTCGAGCGGTTTGGATCTTTGGAAGACCTTGACAGGGCCATTGAACGAAGGCAGGAAGCAGTCGAGGGAACTCCCGTCGGTCATCCCGATCGACCAGTCATACTTAGTAACCTGAGCATCTCGTTTAACGCACGGTACGAGCGCTTGGGGTTCTTGGAAGACCTTGAGAGTGCCATCACGATCAGCGAAGAAGCAGTTGCAGCAGTTCCGGAAAGCTATCCCCGTCGAGGAACTATACTGACCACCTTGGCTAGCCATCTTTGCGATAGGCACAAGCGATTGGGGAGGTTAGACGACCTTCAAAAGGCCATTGAAAGCAGTGAGCAAGCAGTTGCGATAACACCAGCAGGACATCCCGAGCTCTCAAGCCGATTGAACAACCTTGGAAATCAACTTGCGTATAGGTATCAGCGGATGGGAACATTGGAAGACCTTGAGAACGCTATTGCGCGAAGTGAGCAGGCGGTGGAGGCAACATCACTGTCTCATCCAGAACTCGCAAGTCGGTTGAATAACTTGGGCTACCGCCTCAGGGATAGGTTCGAGCGTTTGGGGCATCTAGAGGACCTCGAAAAGGCCATTAGGTGCAGCGAGCAAGCGGTAGAGAAAACGCCATTTGATAAGCCTAGTCGAGCGGCTCTGTTGAGCGGCCTTGCGACCTGCCACAGCTTGAGATATCATCGGTTGGGGGCTTTAGCGGACCTTGAAATGGCAATCAAACTCGAGGCGGAAGTTATTGAGTTAACACCAAAAGCACATACGGACTGGCCTCTTAGGCTCATGAACCTGGCCCACCACTTGGAGGATAGGTTCTGGCCGTTGGGGAATTTGAACGATCTTGATAAGGCCATTGAACTAACTGTAAAGGCAGCGAGCGCAACTCACCCAGGCGACCCTTCTCGGGTAGTCATGTTTGGTAACCTAGGCAGTTATTTCCACAGCAGGTATCGTCAATTGGGGGAATCGGAGGACCTGAAACTGGCCATTCAGTGGGGTGAGCTGGCAGTTGGGGGAACACCAGAGAACCACCCGGGTCGGGCAGACTGGCTGAGCAACTTGGGCAACTGCATGAGTGACATGTACGAGCGGTCCGGGGTGTTTAGGGACATTCAGAGGGCCATCGAATTGTGTAGAAACGCTCTTGAGGGCACACCAAAGGATCACCCAAGGAGAGCAAGTATCTTAAGCAACTTAAGTCAACATCTTACCACCAGGTATCGTCGGATGAGGTCACTGGGAGACATCAACAGGGCTGTTGAATATAGCAAACAGGCACATGAAGCAACACCGGCCAATCACCCACTGTATGCCACAATAAAGTACAACTTTGCCGATGCACTGGGGAATAGGTTCAGCGGGACAGGGAAATCGCTGGATCTCCACAGGGCTATAAAACTGCTTGAAGAGGCAGTAGAAGCACTTTCCCCGGAGCACTTCCATCACAGTACCATGCTGCAACGGCTTGGCCACCTTTTAGCTTTAGGAGGGCCCTCTACCGTCGAAGAGCTTCGTTACGCCCTTGATATAAATCTCAGATCTTGGAATTGCAAACTCTTGGAGCCAGGTCTACGAGTCAACGCAGCCAGCTCTGCTGCCAGAATCTATTACAGCTTAGGAAAATGGAAAGAGTCATCTGCGCTCTACGATGATGCGGTCAGATTACTTCCACAAATCAGCCAACGGCGACTGGCACGAGATGATCAGCAGTATCGCCTGCTTGGCTTTAGTACACTCTCGACAGCCGCTACAGCTATAGCTCTACAGGCTGGATCAGAACCGTCTCATTGTCTTGAGTTACTTGAACTTAGCCGGGGAATCACAGCAGGTCTTTCAATTGACTACAGGAGTGGCTTTTCAGAGCTCCAGAAGCAATATCCGGATATTCACAAAAGGTTCAACATCCTCCGTAATAATATAGACTCCCCCATGGATTACTCAAGATCCGATCGGATCAACGCCTTCGTTAACAACAATGAGAGTATTGGCTGGGGTCCCAGCCGACAAAGAGAGAAAGATATTGAAGAGTTTGAGGCGTTGGTAACTTCTATTCGAAAGCTGGCTGGTTTTGGAAGATTCCTTCAGCCACCCCTTGCGGAAGACTTGATGAAGCTCGCCGATGAGGGCCCAATTATTATCCTCAACTGCACCGGTCTACGAAGCGACGCCATCCTTGTTACACCTTCCGCTACCAAGGTCCTACAACTCCCGGGGCTTCAATTCGAAGAGGCAGGCAGGCGAATGAAGCAATTCAGTCGGAAATTTACTAGAGGCAGGATCAGTACATACCCGTCAAGGAACGCTGGGTTGGAGGAGCTACTTCTGTGGCTGTGGGATGTCGCCGTAGGGCCCATTTTTGAGGAGTTACAACTTGTTCCCATCGAGGGTGATTCTATCAGCCTGCCTCGAGTGTGGTGGATTGGTGTGAGCACACTGAGTATGTGGCCTTTCCACGCAGCCGGGGACCATTCTCCAGGTTCCACACGGAATACTCTTTGCCGTGCCATCTCTTCATATACTCCAACGCTTAAAGCCCTATCCTACGCACGGGAGAAGCAATTCAGCCTGCCAAGTAGTGATTCTAGGCCTAGGCTTCTACTAATTGCCATGCCGGAAACACCCGAGCATAATCCATTGAGCACTGCGTATGAGGAGGTTACGGCAATCAATACCCTGGCAAAGGAAGTGGCTACCACAGAGGTCTTGGACATGCCGAGCGCTGCTAAAGTTCTTGAGCGACTCACCCATTGCGATGCCGTCCATTTCACCTGCCACGGTGTATCAAACAGCAGGAATCCGTTGGAGAGCCACCTAGTTCTCTGCAAAGACCGCGGCCTAGAGCCCAACTCAGGGACAGTCGACAAATTAACTGTTGGGGCCGTCTCGAGCATAACCGTCAAGACTGCACAGATAGCCTTTCTCCCAGCTTGCTCCACGGCCAGGAATGATGCACATTTGCTGGCCGACGAATCCGTACATATCTCTAGTGCTTTCCAGCTTTCCGGCTTTTCCCATGTGCTTGCAACACTATGGGAAACGGTCGATCATGCCCCTCTACAGGTTTCCTGTGATTTCTATCAGTCCTTATTTAACGGCGGGCATACTAGCAGCGGGGGCTTCCTGACAAGCAGTGACGGCGGACACCGGAAGGTCAGCGTGGCCTTCCATAAAGCTATTAAAAAGCTTCGAGATGAGAACTGGAGGCAGCCGCTACTATGGGCGTGTTTTATCCATACCGGGGCTTGATGTTGAAGACATTTGGGCGTCTTGCGACCGGGGCCTTTGTAAGGATATTTTTTTATATTTAATGATATTTTGGGGGTGCTCACACATTTATGGTGGGCTCTATTTATGCTATCTCAGTATCTTTTGTAGTAGCGTGGTCCTTTCTTTTTATTCGTTATTAGGTCTTGGATCTTTGGCTTGCGCTTCGTACCACTTTCTGCTTTTGTACGATGAGCGCAATGTTTAAACCCACCAATCAGTATGGGCTAGGATTTCGGATGGGTAAAGCCGTGTTTCATTGTTTTTGACTACTGATTTGTGGATTGGTATTTGCTTAAATTTTGCTTTGTTAGCTACTGTTTCCCGGATATTCTTTATTTCATTCCTATAGTATTCGCTTCCGCATTACATCCTAACTCGCTTTATTTTTAGGACGTATAGTACATGAGGAAGATACGGAGGCTTATCCGAGACAATCCACCATGCAAATGAAAATATAAAAATGATTTAGAGAAGAGAAGGCTGCGATGGGGGGCGACGAGTTGATTACCGCCGAGTGAAGACACTGTGTATATGAGCTATCGTTTTCGTTCCGGACGATTTAGTTCTTTCTCTACCTTATTTCCATTGAGATCAGCGAATCCAACGGTACACCAGTGGAACGGTATAAACTGGTTTAAGCCTTGACAGTGAGATGGTCGGTGCAGTTGGGCCTTTTTTGCTTGATGGTTCAACTGGGACAGAGTTCTACACCGTTGACGCACGGAATTTACCGGATGCCATATTGGACAATCACCATGGATCACTCGAAATGATCAACCTCTCTCTGGAGCGGCAACACATACTGTGGAGAGCTCTCCTAAGGTCCACTACCTCGTTTAAGGGTCCACACTCTCGATCGGATGATTTAAACAAGTCTTGGCATTAGGGTGGGGGCAATCCATGGATCCAGTGGTCCGGAGATCTTCATAAAACATATAAAGTACATTTGTAAGATCAGCAGTATAACCCGCACAGAAACCGGTCTTATACAGTTGGTGCGGTTGAGGCTTTCAACCTCACGATAACGGTGAAGTTGGTACGGTTCTTCGTCAAATCTGAAGCGGTTTGTCCCATTGGATTCACTGATTAAGACCTCATGCCTGTTCCACCAGTTCCAGCTCTGTCTCAATCGAGTGACACTCTGCTTCTTCAAATAAGACTAGATTATATTTCATTCGTCCCTCTAAACACTTGCCCGCATCCAATATTACCAGCAGGTGTGATGTACTCCCGCCACGGCTATGAGCTACGTTCTTCTCATTCTTCCCTCTCAGGGGATCTAGCTCGATCGAGCATAAAGAGGGTTCCATAACTAGAAATATAATATGTGATACCCTATTGGCTCTATTTTTGAAATAATGTGTAGCCTTAGACTATTAATTGGTACATGAGGTATCGTGACGTGTCAGCCTGCTGATACTCAACCTCGGCAGGCAGCTGGTCATCTCCTGGACGTCCTCTACTAGAGTAAGTCTCCACAGGAGGTGAATAAGTAAACCGTGTCAATAAATGATCCTCTATATAGCTTTTTTGTCCAATGTAAGCTACGAAGTTCAAGCCTTGAACATACCTCTATGGTACAAAAACGGTGTTTTTAATTTAAACAGCGAGGTTGAGCTGCTTTAAGGTAAACAACAGACATGCAGTAGAACAACTGTGGAGGCATTGTGAATGAACTTCAGAGAGTTTAGTATAAACCGTATGCTGTTTGTTTGAGGTTTATTTCAACCCTCAGAGAGTTTCACATCAACTATATGAGGTTTATAATAAACTCTGTACCGTTAACTTAAACCTTTTGAGAGTTTGAGGTTAGCTGTGCCCTGTTTAACCTAAAATCTACACCGTTTGTTTGAGGTTTATTTCAACCGCTGAGAGGTTTAACATTAGCAAAGATACCGTTTACCTTAAACATACTCCATTATATATTCTGTAAAAAAGCTTGATCTCGACAGTGGTGCCAGCATCACCGCCAGGGTATGCACCCCACCACCCCCAACCCGCCGCCAGTACCAGTGAGGCAGCCTATGAAGCGGTTTGAACCGGCGATCTTCCGAAATGAAGTCTAACACCGTTCCCACTAAGCTGCCAAATATTTGATGAAACCTTACTATATTCGCCTGATTAGTACCTGCTTACCTGTCTCCGCGCCTGACTGCCTACCTGCCTACCTCCGCGCGCTGCCTACCTGCTAGCTCTGCGCTTACATGCTATTTCGATGTCGATTTGGTGCACCGTCAGGTGATGCAGGTAGGAGGTAGGTGTCGAGAGGTGGGTAGGCATCGAGGTAGATGTCAAGGTCGGTATTCAGGTATAAAGTAGGGCTCGTACTATACTATATAGGTTAACATAAACTAATTCAACATAAAAGGGGCCAAAGTAGATATATGTAAATTATCCAAGATAGGAGTTTAAAGTCGGGTATGTTTAATATATTTAAAGGATAGGTTTAATATAAATTCAACCTTTAGAGGTTTAATACCAAAGATGCCAACTTAGATATGTTTAAGTTAGCCCATGTCAGGTTTATTATAATCTGAACAATACACGGTTCAAGTTAAACAAGCAAGTAGGATCCGGGTTTATGTTAAATAACTCTAAAAAACCTCTAAGTTTAAATTTTTTGCGAGGTTTATCTTACCCCCTTTTTGACTAAGTACAGCAAGTACCGGGTTTCGATTAAACACTCCCACGCAAGTTTTGTACCATAGGGATACGTACAGCGAAACCTATCATAACTCGACTTCCACAGTGGCCGAATTTTCCCGGAGATATCGCGTAAGGATGGAGGTGTTTGTTGGCAAAATAGAGGGTCTGTTTCCCTGAACACTAGAAACTTCGTATTGATTGAATTTCGATAAGATGGAGTTATGACTGGTTTTTCTGTATAGATAACTTCCCTTCCCTCCGGGGGGGCGGGCGGGGGGGGGTTGGCCAAAAACTTCCCGTGCGCCACTTTCCAGTCAAATCTGTGTATAGATACCGGTTCTAAATACCCGATCGAACGAATTATGAGAAGGCCGCCGTATTTCCAAACCTAGAATCTCAATGAATCGTCTTACATTATCTAAATTCTCCTAATCTAGGAACGACATTGTAAGTCAAACGGTATTTATTCTGCGGGGCGTAGGAGGCGCTCGGCGAGTATGACCGCACCGGTTTTCAGCAAAGCTCAACACCCCGAAACCTCAGCCAGAGTATATATGGCGTCAAGTACACCCCAGAGCTTAGTTCCATGCTCAACCTAATACTCCTCCGGGAGCAACCTTTTCCGCCAAGACCTTAAAATCTGTGAACAGTGGTTCAATCATCCGGTAGTACTCGGGCGGTTGTGTTGAGCTACAATAATGATTCTTAATTTGGTTGAATTGGTACGTCGCGTACCTGCGAAATTTGATGTGGATGATCATTACCACCGAGTGATGAAGTGTGACGCGAGTGAGAGATTATGATTAGGGCCACATGGTATGATTAATCAACCAGGATGTCAGCGGTGGCTGTTGTACGTGTCACAGCTCTATCGCAACATTTTCTACCAAGCTAGTACAACCGCACCGTACATCAACGCGAAGCTTACGTACATATCTACAGTCTTCTCTTCACCTTTACCTTACTCACTAAGAACAACCAACAGCAGAAGCCAGCAATGCATTAAACACACATTCGCACCCGAAATACACAAGAAACACGACTTGGCCACTGGGCTAAAATTGATCTCGCTGGCTCCTGCACGACACAAGATGAGATCAACGCTCCTCAAACCACGACCCCACAAGTATCTCCATACCTCCACACCGCCAATCACCTCTGCGTGTAGCTAAACCCACACCCCAGTTCCCCGGCCACATTAGCTAACACCTCCGCTACCCTATGCCACAACCCCTGTAAAAATATGGCATTGCGACATCGGTTATGTATGGTAATTACTCATGTATAAGGGATGACTTATAGTTGGAACAAGGAGGCTTAGCGCTAGGATTATGTAATCAGGGGATCACGTGGTACTAAGAACTATCTGTATATAAGGAGCAACAAACTCCCATAGTTGTCGCTGGAACTCAGCGGCGCAATAGTATCTTCTTTGCACTATAAACATATTCCTCACAAAGGTCACGTGTTCAAACCCTCCTCAAGTCGTCTATTCTCCCACACTCCAATTCACAGGTTATGAGCCCGGGTTCTGCCAAATAGAATCCGCACTACACCATCGCCACCTCGCTTAACTCAACAACACTTCCAACAACATCATGCCTTCAGAAGGAGAATCGTCATCCAAGGCTGCTGAGATTAAACCCTCAGAGACAACAGCTACCAGTAACATTCGTCTCAAGTTTGATGGACTCCCTAAACTACAAGGGCAATCCAACTACCAAACTTGGGCGAGTGCCTGGAGGATAACGTTCGACGCTGTAGACTGGTGGGAAGCGTTGAGCATCGAGAACCCTGACGAGAATGACACCGAACTCAGCAAAACCGAGATAAAGAAGGCTCGTAAACAAATGCACAGCCTTCTCATCTCTGCTGTATGCGAAGAAATACAACCAACAGTCGTCTCCGCCGAAAATGCATTCTACGCATGGAAGGCGCTCAAAGACCTCTACGATCGTGTCTCACCCAACACCACGATCACCCTCCTCAGCCGCGTCCTAGACACGAAGATGCAAGAAGGCGGATCACTGACCGAGCATCTCGCGACCTTCGATGCGAACTGGAATACTCTCAAGTCCAGATGCCAAAGCGCAGACCACAAACTCGCTCAGGCTCTCCTACCCCTCACCAAATCCAACGAAGCCATGGCGGCATTCCTCCTAAGTTCGCTACCCAAATCGATGAGCAACGTCGTCGACAACATCCAAACCAAACAGGATGTTACCTACGAAGACGTACGCCAACGACTACAGAACCTGGATGAGGTAGCCCCTCAAACAGGGAACAAGGTACTCCATACCAGGAGTACTACAAGCGACAAGGAATGCACCTGG